ACACATCCTCCTGGCACAGTCACAGCAGTGTGTGAGGGTGACACGGGCACACATCCTCCTGGCACAGTCACAGCAGTGTCTCTGGCTCTGTCCCTGTTTGCCCTGGGCAGGAGCAGGCTGTCCCTTACCGCTGTCCTGGTGGTGGCAGATGCCCAGCAGCTCATCGAAGGCGTGCAGGACCGTGCTCTGTGCCGCGCTGCCCCCCGAGAACGCCATGGGCTCCGGGGACACCCCCTCGTAGATCAGCCCGTGGGGCATGGCAGGGTTGTCCTTCCAGCTGAGCAGGGACAGAAAGTCAGGCAGAGCCATGGCTTGGGGACAGGGGACAGTGAGAAGGGACCTGGGCCAGTCTGTGCATCTCCTCTCCCAACTCAGCCCTGTCAGCCCTCCTCAGACGGGACAGAAACTTGGAAATCAAACGCTGTGCCAAGGCACACAATGAGGCCGTGGGTGTAGGGAGAAATCCTGAATTTTCCTTTTCCAGAAAAGTGTTCTCTGGGATCTCCATGGCCTGGTGAGCACCCTGTGCATGGTGCTGGGACACCCTGCCCTGCCTGGCTGCACCTCCTGCTCCAATTCGGGAAGGTTTGTGCAAGCAGAGCTGCCTTGAGAGTGGGAGATGGGAGGGGGCACTTTTCTTTTCTGGGCAATAGTGGCACTTTGAACCAATTCCTTGAATGTCAGTGGCTGTTTGGAAAAGCAGACAGTCACCCAAACCCTCCTGAGCCCTGAAAGTTTGGATTTTGCTTTGYTCCTGTTACTCAAGGTGATGTCTCTAAAGGATAAATAGATCCAGGCCAGGCTGTCTGTGCTTATCTCTGCAGATAACAAGGCAGAGATCGGATTTCCTCCCTCTGAGGCTGCTGGCCCTGGGCACTGCCTGTGCCTCCCCCTCACACACCCTGAACTCAGMCCCTGTCAGCTCCCCTTCTGCTGAAATGGAGAAGAGTTCACTCCCAAACAGAGAGGAGTTACGATTTCAGCGAGATAAAGTGCCTGGCACAAAAATAACTGTTGACCTTTAGCAGAATGCACCGTTCCATGAAGCTTTCGATGCTGGCTGCAGTCTGTTGGGCTGCAGGAACAGAATTTACACAAACCACAGAGAAAATAGATTCATTATCAAATACCAGAATATTTTTAGTTCYTCCAGAATTGTATTTATAGTAACTTCTACTAGTGGGAAGTTATTATAAGCAGAAGGGAATTTAAAAGGCATGTTTTCCCAGGCTGATGACCATCGAGACAAGGTCAGCTTGGATAAAAAATGAGAGAAACCTAATCATGATGCATGGAGCCTTTTTCTTGGGAATGCTGAGATACTATGGAGAAAAATAAAAATAGAACCCCCCTGAGAAGCCTGAGAAGGGAGTGAGTGTCTGCAGATGCTGCAGCCCCACAGGATGCTGAGGGATGGTGAACATGGGCTCTTGGGGCCATGGTTCTGCCTTGACTGAATGGTGTTTTCAGTGTTTGGGGGGATTTTCTTTTTTTCAGCTGACAAAATTGTAACAGCAGCACAAGAGTCTTGTTAGAGATGTTTCCTTAACACGCAGTGGGAAGAGCCCCTGCTCAGCTTTGCAGCTTTGTGTACACAGCGTGCAAGTAAAGAGAAATTCCTCTTCCCCTGTCAAAACTGTTTGGCCAAGAGCAGGAGTGATTCATTTGTGCACAGTTGTGGCTGTTGTGGCTGTCAGGGCTGAGCTGAAATGTGGGATGGTGGTGGGGCAGACCCCAGCCCTTGGCACAGCCCATAACTGCTGCAGGAATTGCTGAGGGACAGGAGCAGCACTGCCAGACCCCACATCCCATCAGGGCTGTCCCTCCCTGCACATTCCCGGCTCCCCCAGCCCTGGGAGCTCTGAAGGGAAACAGAATGCACTTACCCRGAGAGAAATATCCTGATCACAGTGTAGAACACCTCTGGATCCACATAGTCTGGAAGGAAGGCAGTGCCATCAGAGGTGACAGCAGTGACACCAGCACGGTGACAATTGCAGCGTGCTGCATCCTGCTCTCACCGTGCATCCTCCTCAGTGCCCTGCTCATGGCCTCGATGGCCCCTGCCAGCTGCTCCAGGGCTCTGTGCAGGGTGTCCTCATCTCGCTGCASCATGGCACCAAGGGCCCGGGGGATTGCCTGCCAGGGGAGAGSAGGGAGAGCACCGGGGCACAAAGGGACAGGATGTGTGTGTGCAGCAGCTCTGCACATCTGCTGCCACCCCTGCCCTGCCCAGCCAGTGTTCAGCAGGCAGGAGCACCCTGTGGGTGCAGCTCAGACACTTCACAGTTAGCAAAGAGCCCCAGGACATGGCAATATCCACCTTGATGCCAGGCACAGCTGCCTTCTCAACAAGCAGGGTGACCAGGATGAAGCCYCGCAGGCTCTCTCCCCCGGGCAGTGAGATGATGGTGTCCAGGTTCCTGCACAAAGGGGAGAGGACACAGAGGGGGAGCTCAGGATTTCCCTGCACCCTGCAGGACCCACCGAGCCCTTGGAACAAAACCCTCCCAGAATCCAGAGCCTCCTATCTGCACCCTGGGCCCAGAACAACAGGGGAGTGACTGCTCTGGTTTAGGGGGTCTGCCATCCTCCCAGTGCCCTCCCCATGGCCCAGGGCCACTGGATCTGTCCTGTCACAGTCACTTTGCTGTTGTTGCAGTGGCACTTGTGTGACAAACACCGTTTTCTTGTGTGCACACAYCAGGAGAGGTTCAGCCCAATGCTGCAGAGCTGAGCCAATCCAAACAAAACCAACACCTTTAGAAAATAAATGAGCATTAACTACTTACTCAATTTCCACAGGCCTGAAGGCGTTTCAGTTTTGRCCAACAAATGCACAAAAAAAGGGGAGCAGAGAGAGGGAGAGAGAGAAAGAGATTATAAATCATTCTAGTGACAGGCTGTGCTCTGCAGGCAATAGAGGAGCTGTCCCCAGAGGGGACATCCCTGTCCCCACAGAGTTCCAGTGTCCCACAAAGCTGATCCCAGCAAAGGTGGGATTGGAGGGGTTTTGGCAGAGCAGGAGCAGTCTGGGAMCAATCTGTCCCCAACACCTCATCACTGCTGCCCAAGTGCAGGCAGAACCGCGCTGGCAGTTGTTGTTTACCCGTTGGGGTCCTTCCTCCTCCAGTTGGCCAACACAAAATCTGCATGGCTGAGGATGGGGGGCAGGCCCAGGGCCTGGGACACCTCCCAGTAGGGGATGGCGAGATTTCGGGGCAGGACCTGAGGGGCACAGAACACATGGGGATGTTGTCAGGGGGCTGAAAGGGGCCTGTCTGCAGGCAGCAGCCACAGGAAAGAGGATTTGCTCCCATGGGGTGAGTCCTAGGGAAGCAGCACCAGCTCCCAGACCCAACGAGCAGCTGAACTTGCTGTGCCTTTGTTTACCTGCACGGGGCCCTTCTCGCCCTCCTGCCAGACGTAGCCCATGGTGATGAACCCGAGCACCAGATGKGCCAAGCGCAGCTCCTCGTGTCCTCGGAGGTGCTGGGGGCTCAGCTGCGGCATCTGCCAGGGAAACCCTTGGGAGCAAGGAGCAGCAATGCCAGCAGAGAGGTGGAGGGGCTGCCCCGCAGCTGGGGGACCCTTCCAGTACCTCCCCCCGCCTTTGAGTCTCCACGGCCACGTGCTCTGCAGGATTTGCTCCTGCTGCGCTGTGCTGCTTTGTGAGCAGGGACAGAAATCCCTGGGATTTTCCTCAAAAAGGAGTCCCTCTCCCTGGTGCTGGGATTCTCGTGAGCAGCTGATCCCTGTGTGCCACAAGGGCTGATCCCTGTGTGCCACAAGGGCTGATCCCTGTGTGCCACAAGGGTGGAGCCCGGCCAGGGGCTCATGGAGTGCCTGTGCTTCTTTGGCCGGGAGCATGGCTGGGATGAGACATGGTTCTTGTGCTCCAGCCCTTCCTGACATGGTTCTTGTGACCCCACAGGGTCCCCTGCTCCAGCCCTGCCTGACATGGTTCTTGTGACCCCACAGGATCCTCTGCTCCAGCCCTTGCTGGCTGCTGAGCACTTGGATCTGCTGCGGGAGTTATTTCTGTGCAAAGCTGAGACTTTGCTGTCACCTGGTGTCAGTTCTGGCTCAGCACACATCCGTGCTGCTGGGCTGCCTTGGCACAGGTTTTACAGACACTGCAGGGTCAGAGAACGGTCTGAGAGAGCTGCAGAGCAGGAAGGAGAGCAGCAGGGAGGAGAGCAGCAGGAAGGAGAGCAGCAGGGAGGAGGGCAGCAGAGCAGGAAGGAGAGCAGCAGAGCAGGAAGGAGAGCAGCAGAGCAGGAAGGAGAGCAGCAGGAAGGAGAGCTGCAGAGCAGGGAGGAGAGCTGCATACCTGGTGAACACGGGAGCGGAGCTGGTGGCTCACAATCAGCTGGGGCAGCTGACGGGCGATGTCCATCCAGGGGCCGTAGGGCGCCGGCAGCTCTGTCTTGGGGCAGAGGGAGGGCTGTGAATGTGCTCAGGCTCCCAACACCCCCAGCCCTGCACATCCCTGCTGATGGCTCATGCCTGGATCCCCCTCCTGTAAAACGAGCCTGGGTGGTCAAAAGTTCATGGATGATGAACAGGATCTGTCTGTCCCCATGCGCTCCCACTGTGGAGCCAGGCTGGTAATAAACAGCTCCACTTTGGGCACAGGAGACCTGCTCTGCTCTGCTCCCCAAAATCCTGTAGAGCCAGGGCCAGTGTGTAAATGGCACAGCTCCTTCTACTCTGCTCTGCTCTGTGCCATTTACTGCAGCTCCTTTCATCATTTTAAAGGGCAGGGSCTTGTCCTGTGAAACTGCCTGTGCCAAAATAGCAATGCCAAAAATGCCAAAAGGCCTGCGCCCACCTTCCTCAGTGCTCTTTGTGAGGTGTTACGGCAAAATGCTGAATCCAAGCCCCCCCAAAATGCTGAATCAAAGCCCCCCAAAAGCTGCTCACCAACCCCCGTATTCTCCTGTCTGCCTCCTGTAGCATGCAGAGGGGGAGGCACAGCCAGCTCCTACCAGAGGATTGGAAAGCAGGAAGCCAAACTCCTCGGAGACCTGAAAGCTGCTCAGAGCCAGAGGCAGAGGGGGCTCCTCGGTGTCCTCAGTGGCCTCCATTGCCGGACACTGGCCGTGGTGACAGGACGTTCCGTGGTGACAGCTGTGCTGTGGTGGCAGGAGGTGCTGTGGTGGCAGCTCTGCTGTGGTGGCAGCTCTGCCGTGGTGGCAGCTGTGCTGTGGTGGCAGGATGTGCTCTGGCCCTCACGGCCAGCTCGTGCTGAGCCTGCAGCAGGAGCGTACCTTGTCCTGGGGGAGAGCGGGGCCGGCTGCCCAATGGCCAGAGGGGCTGAGCAAACACGGCTAAAGGTCGCTGATAAGGCTTTGCCATGGAGAAAACACTGAGCGTGGTCCCTGTGGGCATCCACCCATGGGAAAGCCACAAACACCCCGAGGAAGGATGAGCCACACACATCCACAGCAGGAGCATCCACTTCAGAGGAGCCACAGCCCCTGAGCTGTCCCTGCCCAGCCTCAGGCAGCTCCACAGCCCTCACAGATGGGCAAACMCCAACCATCACCAGGTGCCCACAGAGAAAAGGGGACAATCCCCACCGCTGTGGCCCCTGGGCCCTGAGAGCAGGGCTGACTTTGACAAAAGCACAAACTACACAAATCATAAAACTACGGGGCACTGGCCATGACACCAGCTTTGCCAAACACCTTTAATCAGGGCCCACAGTGGTGCCCCCGCTTTGGCTGTTGTTTTGGGGCTGTGCCTCTCTTSTGCCCCACGCGAGGCTCTCGCTCCACATCCCTCTGCAGCTCCGGGTTCCGCCGCACATTTCGCTGCCGCTCTGGCTCCAGCTCCCTGYTCACATCCTGGCTGGTGCTGTGGGGAACCTACAATGGTGCCTTGGCCCTGACTGGCCCCAGGAAGCACCTCAGCCCAGGGAATGTCCCCATGATCCCCTGGGAACCACCCCATATACCCCATGGGAACCAGCTCCTCCCTTCCCTGCTCTCCTCAGCCTCCTGGGGAACACTGCAGCCCTGTCCCACACACCCCCAGGATCCCGCAGCAGCAGCAGGGCCCCACTCACCCCTCGGTGGCCGGTGGCTGCTGCCCATGGAAGCGGGCCAGCAGCTCCTGTCGCCACAGGCCGAGGCAGAGGGCTGCAGTGAGGACCAGCAGGACGAGGCTGGAGCCCAGCACCAGCCAGGCCATGTCACCGGGTCCCAGGACTGGCCTCGAGGGTGCTCCTGGCAGGAGAGAGCGCAGTTGGGCACGGGGCACTGCCTGCCCTGCCCACACCGTGCCCTGGTCACTGCCAGCCCTGCCCATGCCATGCCCTGGTCACTGCCAGCCCTGCCCTGCCCACACCATGCCCTGGTCACTGCCAGCGCTGCCCACACCGTGCCCTGGTCACTGCCAGCGCTGCCCACACCGTGCCCTGGTCACTGCCTGCCCTGCCCACACCGTGCCCTGGTCACTGCCAGCCCTGCCCTGGTCACTGCCAGCCCTGCCCACACCGTGCCCTGGTCACTGCCCGCCATGCCCTGGTCACTGCCAGCCCTGCCCTGGTCACTGCCAGCCCTGCTCACACCGTGCCCTGGTCACTGCCAGCCCTGCCCTGCCCACACCATGCCCTGGTCACTGCCAGCGCTGCCCACACCGTGCCCTGGTCACTGCCAGCCCTGCCCACACCATGCTCTGGTCACTGCCAGCGCTGCCCACACCGTGCCCTGGTCACTGCCAGCCCTGCCCACACCTTGCCCTGGTTACTGCCAGCCCTGTCCACACCGTGCCCTGGTCACTGCCAGCCCTGTCCACACCGTGCCCTGGTCACTGCCAGCCCTGCCCTGGTCACTGCCAGC